CTGCTCTGGGGAGAGATGGGGCAGAATAACTGGCCCAGTATACAGACTGTTATTGCTCCTGGCCAGTGGGAAGTGGTTGCACAAAGGAGGCACAAATCCGAGGGGGAAATATGTTATCCAGTCTTTCTCTCTCATAAAAACAAAGTAACAGACACACAAAACATGGGATAATAGAATGCAGAGAGTGCAGTTGGGAGGGGAGGGGGGGACTATGTCATTGCCTGATTTTTAAACGATTTATTTTGCAGTGAGAAGTCTTAAAAACAGTTTTGTGCGGGGAAACAAAAGGTATAAGAGAATAACTCTGCTTTTGATTCTTGCAAAACTTGCATTCCCTTCACATCTATTATGCTGAGTCACCCTTTGCAGACCTCGCTGCTCTCCCTTCTGCGCCTGAGTTGTTGTGGGAGGCAGATTGTTTAGTGTGGGATTGCTAGAGTTCTTTGTTGAGTTTGCCATTGGCATCTTTCAGTTCCCCTGCTGCTCTTAATATTCTGGCTCCAGCTTTGTGCGCTGTGCCAGCAAGGTATGAACCCTTGGCTCAAGTGGGTTTGAGGACTTGAATAGGAGGAACAATTCTTTCCTTCCGTCAAAGTAGCTTCCCCCCCACCCTTGGAGGAATCATGCTCAGATTATCTATTGACATAGGATGGTGAGAGTAGTGAGGAAGAGCAAGTGACTTGTGGCCACATAGAATATATACATATATAATTTTGGCTTGTGAGTACGCGAGAAACAAATTTAGGGGTAAGTAAATGCAGAGCAAGAGCCAGAACCCCCACAAGGAACAAACATCACTGAATAAAGCATGTGCTTACATAGAGAAGGTCTCAGTTCAATTCCTGGCATCTTAGGTAGTAACCTCAATATGCCGAGTGCTGATCTTGGACCTGCTGCTAGTAGCCATCTCTGGATTTTTCTGCTACGCAATACATAGCTCCATTATGAAATTCCAAAGGCCAGGTAGGGATCTAGCAGCTTAAGTAAGAACATCTTATAACACCTATTTCAAACATCAATCACTAAATCAAAATAAGTTTCCTGAGAGGGGGGAAGTATCTAGCCTTTTATTTAAAATATTTATTGGTGTGTTTACTTTTGTATCGTTTATTTCCATCAGAAGCTGCTGCTGTTTCATTTTCCTCACTATCCCACATCATTTATCTCAGTGCTAAAAAAAATGAAGTGAAATAGAATTAGGGCATGGTCTCATTTACTTTAGGATAGGGTTGCTATATCTAGACTGCAGAAAGCGTGGCAGCCAACAGAAGGTACCAAAAGGGTTTTATGTATCTCTCTGCTGCCATCTAATTGTCAGCTAGCCTATCATAATATGGGAATTCTACTTTAAGCAGATTGAAACTATTCCATCAGTTTGAGTTTAGCCTTTGAAATTAAAACTTTCCAACCCCACAACTTCAACCTCAAAGGCACACTTAGGGCAAGAGAAGAATAAATCGAACACAAAGGAGACTTGACTTTGAATATGAATTTCTATAATCCTCCCCTCATCCAAACTACATTTTATAAATTGCTTTTTAAACTGTAGGCGTAGCCATACATATAGCTTCAGTGAAGTTCCTTTCATAAACATAGAACTTGTGAAATGTTGTGTGCTCCATTTTTCATTGCTACCGTAGTCTATTCCAACATATTCTCTGATACTATTTCACCTCCCTTTTCTTATTTGCTATGAAGACACTGCATGGTAATAGTCCTTTTTTGTAGAATCTTCTAGGACCTCAACATGGAGAATCAATAAAGCTATAAAAGATGATGTACTTTTTAGAACTGAAAGTTCTGCTCAGATACAGCACAAGTAAGAAACAGCACAAACTCTGACCAAACTAAACCAAATAACTACTCCTCCTCACCATATTAACAAATGCAAACAGTATATCTCAAGAGCCCCTAAAACTACCCTCTTCATTAACCAAAACTAATCTCTGGTCTGATCACCATGTTTCGTAATGCAAAGTAATCATTCATTTGTATCTCACCTTGCTCCATTGAGGTCAAATTTATTCCTCCATGGTTTACCAGTAGTTTATTCAGCAGGCTAAACTGTATTTTAAAAGCAAAATTTGTTGCCCAGTGATTGGTTTCATACATCATCCTATGCTATAAACCAGAATGACTAGATTCTAACATCATGTTATATCAAATCTGAAGTAACCACATTATGATTTAGTACAGTGTATGAACTCAGCCCATATTAAAAGATCCACATGTAAATTATTGGTCTTCTAAAAAATATACATCTTGTCAAGAAATTTGGTATCTTTACTGGAGTATCTCTTTCAAAAGTTCAAAAAGATCCAATTTTTGCTGACAAAGAATGAGTATGGCTTTTAGAAGGAGTTAAGGATAGGGAAGCTTTTAGCTGATCTAACAAAAAAAAATTTCTTGGAGTATCAGCATAGGTATACTTGGCCATTGAAGCAGGAGGCCAAGATCTGATGGGAGGAGGGTTGAGTCATTTTGCTTCACTTATAGAACTACTGTATATCCCCCCCTCCCTCCAAGAGCCTTGAATGCTGTGTTTCTGGAGTTCCCCAAAGTTTCTAGTTGCTATATGTTGTAAATATGATGCCGACTAGTTTGGTCCAGCAGAATTTCTCTCATAGTTAGATGAATTATCTATTTTACACTGCAGGGTTGGTTTTTAGGCTCCTTATCTCTATCAGCAGCTTTCCCAACCAAATAGGTTGGAAGTGCAGTTCCAAATTCCCAGATATCATTGGCTTATTGAGATCTAAGAGTGGCAATCTGATATATTGGAGGGGGCCAAATTAAGAAAGGCCAAAATGTGAGCACAAAGTGGTTTATTTACTGGTCGGGCAAGCAATTCTAATAGTAGATGTGATTTAAGAGAGTTCACAGACAAACTATTGGAATGAAAAATGGTGACCAATATCTCAAAAGGAAAATGGGGAGGGTGGTTAACAGTGAGTGATAGGGGTGCAGATAGGGGTGAAATGATGTCTGGGGCATGTTTATGAATTCTGCAGTATTAATATTTGAGGTAAATCCTATTTTCAGATATTTTGGTGTGAACTGTCCCCCCCCCCTCTCTCTACTACAACTGTTATAACACAAATGGTGTAAATTCAAGGTCAGTCAACAGAATTGACTTGGAATCACTCCACCAGGGTCCATCATCAATCCAGCTGAGTTATAAATCAACACAAACAGGATGAATTTGTCTAGTACAACAGGGCCATTTTATTAGGATTGATTTGCACTGTAGTTGGAAATGGTTCCATTCAGATTATTTACAGGAGATGACAATTTATTTTGTATGTCTTGCTTTTATTTTTCCTGCCACATGACGCCAAGATGTTCATCTTTTTCAATGAGCTGTTTAACTTTCTGTTTCACAGGTATAAATAACTCTTTAGTTGTTGTGTTGGGATTGATTTATTTAATTAAATGCTACAGTTTATTTTTGCTAATAGCTCTGCATCAGAGAAATCTGGCAAATGTACATGATTACAATTAAGGAAGAGGGACATGGCATGAAGCAGAAAAGTAATTCAGCATTTTATACATTCATGTCTAAATCGCATGAGTCTCTATTTGGCCCAAGGACTTCAGAATACAGAGATTTTTACTAATTCCAAAACCTACATTGAATATAGTGGCACTTTCTTCTTTAGTACAGTTATACAATGGAATTGTATAGGAAACTAAACCCATAAATAGATCTATGCACTACTCAACCTTTCAGTTTCAGAATGATTGCGTATTGTCAACTAAATACATTTTGAATGTCAGTGAAAGGAGAACATAATCCCCTCTGTTGTTCCACATAAAAACCTTAGCTGGACTGATAGCAAATACTGGGAAAGGAACTGTGCCCTCAGGGCATGGAATGGAATAGAGAAACAGCTATTCAACATTCAGCCTAGCCTACCCTGGCATTTGCAAGCCAAGGCTGCTGCCTGATGCACAGCTGGCTGTATGTCTCTTTCAGCAGCACTTACAGTTATCGGAGAGAGAGCGATTGTTTCCGTGGCTGTTTGCGAGCTCCAGAAACAAAATGCTACATTAAGATCCTACTTCTTACCTAGCAGGGTTCTTATTATGCTGGTTATGTTTGAAATTGGAAGATAAAAAGCTGCTTCAAAGCCAAGATGACTGAGTTTTATTGCAAAGTAGAGCCAAGTGTATTTTAAAATAGGCACATAAAGTTTATATTCTGTCCTGAATGCACACATGTGGCTTATATAAGAAATAGAATATAAAAAAGGCCATTTTAATTAAATTTCAATGTATTTCCCATTTGATTTATATGCCTAGGAAATGACAATCCTAATTTTTTTACCTCAGTCTCCAAAATCAAGCAGCTCAATCTGTAAAATGTTGCTGGGATAAAAATACACAATTGACAGTGGCAAACAAAACATCATTATTCCATGTTGTATGTTCAGAAAAAAATATTGTAAAGACTTTTATATAATTAAATTAAACACCATCATTAAGGATCTCAATCTAAAACATCTTGCTAGATTTTTTAAAAAAAGTAATTGACAGTCCCAAAGAAAACATTAGTACCTCCATGCTGTGTATCCACATAAACACCAGTAAAAACTTTCACAAGTATGTTATATAATGAAATGAAAAAGAGAGAGAACTAAAGGGAATGAGAAAGATTTCTTGATGCTCCATTCTTGTTTATATTAACATTGTTATTTCTAATGCATCCAATTATTTATTTATTAACCTTGTGAATTCCCATGTATTCCCATGGAAATATTTATATTTAGCAATTATAAAGTGTGCCTTGCATGAATACATGAATAGTATTCCCATAGTTATTGCCAGGCATTGCACTCCTGCAAGTTCCTTTACATTACATTATTGTTGTATATTTAATAGTGTCTGCTGAGAGGATGATAAAATACATGTAGTCCCCGACTTACAACACTTCGTTTAGTGATTGCTCAAAGCTACAACAGCACTGAGAAAAGTGACTTATGACTGTTTTTGACACTTACCACTGTTGCAGCATTCCCCATGGTCATGTGACTCATTTTTCTGAAGGTTGCAGTGCCTTGGGGTCATGTGATCACTTTTTGCCACCTTCTGAAAAGGGAAAGCCCAATTTACTTAACAACTGTGTTACTGACTTAACAACTGCACTGATTCACTTAACAACTGTGGCAAGAAAGGTCGTAAAAAGAGGCAAAGCTCATTTAAATGTCTTGTTCAGCAACAGAGATTATGGGCTCAATTGTGGTTGTAAGTCAAGGACTATTTGTAATTGATTGTACATTTAAAAAGCTATGTGTGTAAGGTTAATGAAGCATGCTATATGCTGTACATAATAAAAGAATATGTGTGTGAGAGAGTCTATAAAAACACGTACACACATATTCTGAGCCTGTATATTTATGTAGTGAGAGAGAGAGAGATCTATCTCTACCCTTTTCAGTCAGGTAAATCAAATAAATAAATATATAAATAAATCCAGAGGGCTTTTTAACTGCAGTACAAGAACATGACAGAAACATGTAACTAAACAAACCATGGTATGATATGTCAAATCTTGTGTGTGTGTGGGGGGGGGGGTATGGTAGTTATATGTTTAGCTCCTTAACTCTGACATGAATGTAGGTTAGACCATTTGCTTCTTTTTAGAATCTATTAGATTTTCAAAAGCTAAAGTTCCCTGACTCCATTTGTCCCCTCACCCTCCCTTCCCTTTCATTGAAAAATATGAAGTAACAAAACTTCTAGATTTCTTCTACTGATGAAATTTATCTCCCTATCCCAGTGTTGGTGAACCTTTTCGGCACCAAGTGCCGAAACGGAATCATTCGTGCAAACGTGTGGGAGCGCTGAAAACCAGAAGAACAGTTCCCGGCACACATGCGCGCACCGGGAAGCTGAGTTTCTGATTTCCGGCATGCACATGCATGTCAGTCACCTGATCTTCTGGTTTCTGTTGTGCATTCGCATGTGAAAACCAGCTGGGTGGTGTGCATGTGCATACCGGAAACCAGATTTCAGCTTCCCAGTGCGTGCATGCGCACCAGGGAGCTGCTCTTCTGGTTTCTGGTGCGCACAAAGACCAGCCGGCCGGCGTGCCAGAACCCAGAAGAGCAACAGGAAATAGCTGGTGTGCCTGGAGAGATGGCTCTGTGTGTCATTTCCGGCATGCGAGCCATAGGTTCGCCGTCACTGCGCTATCCTCTAAATAACAGTGCATCTTTAAGGTAGATTATCAGCCTTTATAAAAGACAGATATCTTCATTTAATTTCTATTTCTATGGTCTCCTTTTTGATGTTATGGCTGGAAAACTAATTTTTGTATGTCATATACATACTGGTTCCCAAATCCACTTGACTGAAGTACCCCGTTTTATCTGTGTGGCAAATGGCCATTTCTACTCCAGATATTTATAGCATGGTCTAGCTAGCATGATGTCAATATACCAATAATGCTTTATATTGCCACAGCAGTGGTTGGGTGGCACTAGAAGACATGGATCACTACCATGAAAATTGCTAATCCCTTTTAATTCCTGTAATCACTTTTCTTTCTTTCCTTTTATTATGGCAGAATAAATAAAGCCCATCTTTCCTGTTCTTTTCTAGCTGCTTGTTAATTGGAATAATATATTTTCAAATAGCAAAATAGAAATAACCATCAAAGCATAAAAACGATGATAAAACTGTATAAAAACCATAAAACATATGCAGCAGCTGTATAAACATGTAAGCATAATCATTAAAGGGCCCTGCTCCACAATTGAAACCTGAGGCTTTCCAACAAGCCACAGCCAGGATATATGGCCTTTAAAAGATGGGCACCAAGACATACAAGTTTTTCTGGACCTTGTTGGATGACACTCCTTGGTAGACCTGGCACTCCTGCCAGATGTATCTGAGAAGAGGCACTCCATCAAATAACCCATCACATGCTATATAGGGCTTTATAGGTCATTATCAGCATCTTGAATTGAACATGGAAGAAAACTGCCAACCAATACAGCTTGTGGAACAGAGGTGTAATGTGCGCTGATCAGGGAGCACACATAACTGTCCACTTTGCACCATTTTTCCCGCTGGAGTTTCTGGGCAACCACAACCAGGTCCCTCAGAAAGGGCCTTTTTCATCCAGCCTATTTGAAAGCAAAAACACAACATTAGGGATGGATTTTATCCCCTGCACTCTTAAGGAAGCTGGGTGAAAAGCCTCCTGAAATCCAAGCAGGATTTCCTGCTTGAATTTTGTGATGGATCCTTTTCAGCCTGCCCCCGGGAATTAGACGGAGTCCTCTGGGCTGGCAGCAGCATGCAACCTTCCCTGCCCAGCCTCTGTTGATTTTCTGAGGAAGATGGCAGGGAAGTTTGCACATAGCAATCACATGATCACAGGGTGTTTGGCAACCTGCTGTAAATGCAAACAGGCTGCCAAGCATCCAGATTCCAATCACGTGACTGCAGAGGAATTGCAACAGCCATACTTTCCGTCATAAGTCCCTTCTTTCAGCACCATCATAATTTCATATAGTCACTGTTATGTACTTGAGTTACGACCAGCCATTGTCTATCAAGCCGGCAGGTGATTGTTATTGGTTCCCGCACAGAGGTGTTCCAGCGGGAGAATGGCAAGGTTCTAATTGGTTGACGGGTTGACAGCTACCATACAAATAGCTGTCAACCCAAGCATTACTGTTCTGTTGAGTTAGTGTTTTTACTGAATAAACTACTGTTGAATGCAGAATCGCCTCAGTCTTTACTCACAGCCAGAGTATTTAATAGTCACCAAATGAATGCTCATTAAGGCAACGTACAATAATCCATTTGAGAGGTGCCCATAACATGAGTGACCAAGAGTAAAGCCTCCCAGTCTATAAATAGGCAAAACTGATGCACAACATGAAGTTCTTCACATAGGATTCATGAGTTCATTGGTTGAGGACTCATTGGTTATACATAGAGTTTCTTTGGGGCAATGCCACCGCATCCAGAACAAGGGGTGTTTTGCTAGCCAGGGATCACCGAAGCGGCTGCCTGCCTCTGTGAAAGGCATTTTTTCGGGCAGTGTTATCTTACCTGCAGGACACCTGAATGCCAGTAGGCAATCAGGGGAGGCTCTTTTGGTGCCCCTATGCGGTTTATTCGCTCATGGGAATCGAGCTGCTGACCTCAGCAGGACCAGGCTCAGCATCTTACCATGTGAGCCACCAGGGCCCCCTACAAGGGGTGTTAAATCACTGAAACCAAAAGGCCCCCAAATCCAAACCCTTAAGAGATTTGAGCTGACACCTGTTTTCCCCAACCATACCTCCACAGTAAACAGAGACCAAGGTCAACAGCAGCATCACTTAATACCTTACCCCATGGTGACAGATGCTCTCATCCAGAGGGCTTCCTGCAGATGTTAAACAGAAGGGTAGAGAGAACCAAACCCTGTAGAAACCCACAAAGTAGGGTTGAGGGCGAGAGGAAAATCAATTGGAAACAGCCATCCAAGAAAGAGAATCAGCACGATACAGTATCTTTCACCCTCAGCTCCCAAAGCTGCTCCAGAAGTATATCATGATCAATGACATTGAAAGCCATCAAGAGATCAAGATGACCAAGGATGGATGAACTGCCCCCATACCAATCATGCCAGAGATCATCAACAAGCATGATCAATGCTGTTTCAGACCTATACACAAATCTGAAACTTGATTGGAAGGGAGCCAGAAAATCTGTTTTAGTCAGAATCTTCTGAAGCTATCGCATGATCACTTTCTCAATAACCTTCCTTAAAAAGTGAATGTTAGATACTGGGTGAAAGTTTTCCAGTATGGTTAAATCTAGTTAACGGCTTCTAGAAGAGAGGGTGAATAAATGCCTTTTTAAGATTCTACCTCTTGCCATACATTTCTTTGTCCTCCCAACAAGCGTTGCCATCTTTCAAGTTACAACATTCCACCAATTGGTTTTAGCATACATTTATGATGATTCAATAGCAGTAGACTTATATACCGCTTCATAGGCCTTTCAGGTCTCTCTAAGCGGTTTACAGAGAGTCAGCATATTGCCCCCAACAATCTGGGTCCTCATTTTACCCACCTCGGAAGGATGGAAGGCTGAGTCAACCCTGAGCCGGTGAGATTTGAACCGCTGACCTGCTGATCTAGCAGTAGCCTGCAGTGCTGCATTTAACCACTGAGCCACCTTGGATTCAATAGGATTAGAAGGCATTCATACTTCTAGTGCCTTACACTGTTGTTAGTAATCTGCACCTGTTTCCAATGACTTTGCACCTATCTCAACAAATTAGAATAAAGCTGGAAGGGACCTTGGAAGTCCTCCAGTCCGGGCCCCTGCTGAAGCAGGAGAACTTAGTGGAGCAGCTTGCCTCCAGAAATCGTGGGCGCTCCATCACTGGATGTTTTTAAGAAGAGACTAGAGCCTAGTCTCGCCTTTAAAACATCCAGTGATGGAACACCCACGATTTCTGGAGGCAAGCTGTTCCACTGATTAATTGTTCTCATTGTTAGGAAGTTTCTCCTTAATTCCAGGTTGCTTCTTTCTTTGATTAGATTCCAACCACTGTTTCTTGTCCTGCCCTTTGGTGCTTTGGAGAATAATTTCACCCCTCCCCTTCTTTGTGGCAGCCCATCAAATAATGGAATTCCCCCCCCCCCCCCCCCCCCTTCTTTTGTGGCCCCCCTCAAAAAAAAGTAACCCCCCCCCCCCCCCCCGGCCAGTCCTTCTTTTCTCCAGACTAGCCAAGCCCAAATCCTGCATCCTGTTCTTCCTTTGATCATTTTAGTCGCTCTTCTCTGACTGATAGTTTGCTAGTATAGAAAATAAGCAAGGATTGCAATACGCTAAATAAGCACCTACTGTGTAATACAATATGCAAAAGAAGCAAGCACTGTAATACAAGAACCGGCGGGGAGAGGCTTCACTGCTTGGCATACTGTATGCATATATGGACTTCCCGGTCTTAGTTTGGCTCCACCCATTGATCCGCTGAAGGGAGCTTTCGTTTAAAAGGGCGATGCCACAGCCGAAGTGGAAACGTGGGGTCAAAAAAAAATGATCCCAT